AGAAGGTAATGTTCGATCTGCGATTGGGTTAGCTCAAATTAGGGTTTCTGGTATTTGGATAGAAGAGTGATTCTTGGCGAGAAAGCAACGCTAACCATTTACTAGGTTTAGATCGTATTGAAGAACAAAAACTTGATATGGAACATTCGTAACGTCACCTTCCAGAGAATCCACAGCTATGATCTGTAACCTTCTTTATCAACGGGAATTTGCTTCCAAAGTCGGCTCTGCGAAACTGAAGAAACAGTTTCTGATTGCAGAAAATAGATATCTAGGACAATCTTTAATCGTGGACTACGACTTCGTCTTACCTCGAAATTGAGATCAGAAAAGTGATACGGAAACTAGAAAGAGAGATCTATCCAACAGTATGAAATCTTTGCGTGAATCTTCATGGTTCGCCGAAAAAAAGGCCCGCAAGGTCACTGCTTCCGCTAGCTTTTGTGTTGCTTCTTCTCCCTTGGTGTTTTCTGTCGCCGGAGCATTGCTCTGTGCCTTGCGGTGGCTGTGGAGGCTGGTTCACGTCAGGAAATGATCAAAGCTTTGCTGCGATGGTGTTTTCCTCCTGTCCTACTCCCTCATTGACTCCTTTAAATAGGTGAAGTGGCTCATAGGGTTAGGGTTTTAGGAAGAACAAAACTAGGGCTTCGAAATGGGCTTTAGTGTTTCGGGCTAGATTGGGTTTGGGTTGTGACACCTGATTGGTACAGCTGATCGCACATATGCTCATTCACTAACTTTCCAATTCGATAAGAAGAGCTCTTCTTTATATGGAATTCCTCTACCTATCAAGGCTACATCTCTCGAGGAAGATTTCAGACATGTATCTCAGCCTTCTCAAAGGCATTCAGTTTAAGGTGATAGGTATGTACTTTATCTTGTTACACTGGTTTCATTGCCATTATTTGGTTGTTTTTACCTATGTGTGCATCCAAGCAGGGGGAGATTACGACAAGGCTTAGGGTAAAACGCCAGTTGAAGAGGAGAATGAGGCTAATGAGGAGACTCAGGATGAGGAGATGTGATATGTTGGTTGTTGTAATCTAATCTATGGCTCTGCCTATGTTTTTTAAACTTGCTTTTGTGGCACGTCTATGTGCTGAAACTTGAATTTATGGGTTTGTACAACTAAGACTTAAACATATCTATGTCTTTTGGATATTGTTGACTTTCGCTCCATTATTGAACGTTTGTGTTGTGTGCATGATATATCTATATATTTGCATTATCTGTGTACATATTTCCATACCTTTATCCTCTGTTCAGCATCATTCTGCATCAATTAGGCATTTTTTAGCTCTAGTTTAGTCCAGATTTGCATTTTAGAGTCCTAAGTTAGAATTGTACATATTTCTCTTCTTTTACCCTTTTTCAGGTGGTACTTGTGCTTAATTGGAACTATCCGGCTTACTAGAGCCTAGAAGATTGGATTTGAGGATAGAGGAGTGGATGTACAGCGGAATTGCAAGGTTCTGGAGCAAAACAAGGAGCAGTGGAGCAAGAATCGGTCATGAATCATCAAGGACTGTCGGTGAGAAGCACTTGGAACAGCGGAAGAATGGAGTCTCAACAAACCCACTATAGTTCATAGCTTGGGTGAGAATCAGTACGTTAGTGCCCCTTAACCTATGCACTAATGTCCCAGGTTATCCCCTTGATATGATGGAGCATCAAGACTCTCCATCCGTTAGACCAAACGCATCAAACCGGCTGGAGAAATAGCAGAGGAGACCGATATCCCCTGATATCGGCACCCACCGATGAGGAAGACCGATATACTGCGCCCATTGCGATGCTGGTGTCACGACACGAGAGCTGCTAGACGCACTGGAGGTGCAACGGGAATCGGTCACTTCCCTGATATGGAGTGACTGATATTTAATGCATTTTGTTGACTTTTTCTGGTCGATCGTTGACTCGAACTGGATGATCCGATTATGCTTTGGGTTGATCCGGGTTCTGTTATGAGGGGTATAAATATGTTCTTAACCCCTGGAAAACCTAAGTC